GTTATTATATTTAAAATTATTAAATTGCTTTAAAAAAATAAATAGGCATTTAAAAAAATCATTAGATATAAACTACTTGATTTTAATAAATCTTTTTAAAAAATCAAATTTAAATATTGGCTTTTTTGAAACTTTCAATAAAAATTTAAATATATATGTCAATACTGTATATCATAAAATAATAATAATAATATTGGTTCTTTAACTAAAATATCAAACTTATACAGCACAATTATAAGAAATCTGGTATAAATTTAGTAAAATTGGGCGAGTATTGATTTTTTGAATCAAGTTTGAATACTCCAATTGAAAGTTGAGTAATCCCTCAACTCTAGAATTTGGGTATGGTCTCAGAGTGCATAGAGTAGTCTGAAGATGATTTTTGTCAGTTACAGAAGTTGTTCATTATGTTAACTGATCATTTCCTTTTTGTTTAGGAGCATTGTAGCATAAAATAAATCAAAGTTAGTTAGAAGACGAATGCAATCTATAAATATAATATTTAACAGATACTGAGAGAGCAAAATATGTCTTCATATATTTTTCACATGATTTAATGAAACCAAAAAAAATATTATTTTTACCTAGAGGTAACTGGTAATACTGTATAATAATATATTATGATTATTATGTATATTAATATTTATTCATAATGTCTTACTTTAGGCTAACTACAATATCAGTTCTGGAAGTAACATCATTAGTAGTATGATCACCGCCAACTAGTTCAATCATTGTTTTAATTATATGACATTCATTTGTACCAAAATTAACAATTGAAAATTGAAAATTTAGACACGGCAAATTGTCTGTACTAAAAAATACAAAAACAAACAATTTAATTATTATAGTTTTTAAAATTCTGATCAAAATTAAAAATTAATGATTTGAAAGGTTTTACAATAATAATTAATTTTCTATAAACATTTTATTTTGTATAGTAGGAGTGCTTAAAATCAGCATTAGGAATCATGTAATATGTAACTATGTAAGATTTGAAATTTAATATGTACATCTTGATAAGTAATTTTTTGAATTATTCAATAGTGTAAAAATAACTGATAAAATATCTAATTGTGTGATATTTTCTAATATAAAAAGTTAATAGGTAAAAATGTAAAATGAAACAAATAGAAAATATTAAAATAATTGAATACAAATAACTAAAAATTACTATTTAKTTTACAAATAAAAAAATCAGAAACTGTACTATTTATTTTTCATTGTTAGAATATGTAATGTGATTAAATGTAATAAATGTTGTTCCATAGTATTTTATTATTTAGAGTAGAATAAACTATAAAACTAATTTTAGATTCTGAGCGAAGCGATGAATGATTTGATTTTCCAATGATGTATGTATTTTTTGTTTCTGCGCTGTATACATGACAAGTTGTTGAAATAATGCTTCAATTTTCAACATCAGTAGCTTTTTGGTTCGAAAGAGAATTTAGTTGATGCAATGGGGAACAATTTTGAGAATTTCCAGTATTTTTCAAAAGCACCGTGAAAACAAGGAAAAATTAAGGAAAAACGGAAGTTTAAAAAAAAAATCAGTTTTGAGAAAATTGATTTTAAATATTGGTATAACTCTAAAACAAATTACCATAGACACATTTAATTTTCATTCAATGTTTATTCTGGCATTCTCTATACTTGGTAAAATTTTCAAATTATTTCAAATCTTTTTAGTTTTGTATTCTATATAATAAGTCAATAAATTGAATTCATTAAGTAAAAAAACTTGGAAATTGAATAAAAGGTTCCCCATAAACTGATATAATAGCAGTTGGAAAATATTAAAAAAACTTATTCTTTTTATAATCGTTTAAAGTTTTAATTTTGACAAAAGTTATTTTGTAGGTACCTACATTTTTTTTTTTGAAAAAATAACACTATAATTAATATAGTATAAAATATCATAGACTGACAAACCGTCTCTGCTCAGAATCGTTTTTAGTATACAATGATATTATATCATTGAATTCAAATTTAATACCATCCATTACAGTAACTTACTGTACAACAAAGCGWCATCCATTTACCCGTTTTTTTAAATTTTATATCGTAAAATAGTAAATATATTATTTTCTCTAATTTAGGGACCTTCTAACCTTTTTTAAATTCTATTACATAGACTTTTTGTTCATTTTTTTTTTAAATACAGAGGTCGCCGCTTATTGGACTCACAGTTAATTGACTCATTCACCAATTATTTTCTAAATGGCTGGTCTCGATTTGCACATATATTAACATAAAGCAAAAAAATTTATCTATTAAACTCACACACCAGTTAATAGGGTCATTTGAAAATTAGATAAATAAATAAAATATGAACAAAAAATTGAATAAACATGTTATATATGCAATATGTCGGTACTGGTATTTGCTTTTATCGCACAAATAAAATAAATTATTTGTTCACAATAAATCAAGCAGTCGTCAATGTCAACTAGTACAACAGGTAGTGTATTTCATGTTCCTAATTACACTAAGTCTTCTACCTAAATTCAATTTTTAAATATAAATTAATAGTTTTTAGTACACTTAATAGAAGAAGAAAACTATAACATATTACTAAGTAACTGTAACAAAAAAACCCTTACAAAAAATTTAAATCATTTCAGCCTAATATATATACATATAAATAATTAAACTGAGAATTCTTACAAATCCCTTAGTTTTAATTATGAAAATTTAAGATTTAACCTCAAGTTTTTACTGCAAMATTTATATAGTATAATATGTATATCTATTTTTTTTTTACCTGTAAGGCATGGGAAAATGAACAGCTAACCAAGGTGGTATCATAAGTTTTTTAGAAATGATATCGCTGAGCCAGTAATCAGTCACACATCTTTTACCATCATTTATAGCCTGAAAAAATAAAGKAATCATTTATAATTTTATTTAAACACACACAAAATCAATATTATTTTACTTCTTCAACTATATGATGTTTTTGGGTGACACAAATTACATGTGTAATATGATCAGAATACAACTGTTCAACTGATCCACCATATTTAATAATATTATCCTTAGATAAAATTGTGTTATTGTATTTACTATTAACTTCTTGTTGAATTTGGACATCCACAAATAAAAATACACATCCTAACAGAAATTGTTTGGTAGATACTAAAAATTAAAAAATAAATTGTATTAATTTCATATTAAATATATAATTTAAATGTATTAAAAATTTAAAAGCATATATTCTATGAATATATGTGATAGCCATTGTTTATCTGATGCAATTATGCCAGCACTAAAAATGCATTAGATATGATGTGGGATGTGATATTATATATTATGTTTGTGTTATTTTTTTATTATCTGAGCCCAGGTTTAAAGTATTGTCACCACCCCCGATCACCCCACTGAATATACAGTGGTGATGTATTAATGAGAGAGACTATGAAAAAATGTCTATGTTTATGTTATATTAGTGATTTTGATAGYAAACTTTATATTAATATAATGAAATTGTTCAAAAATTTTTTTAAATATAGTGAAATCTAATTTTATGGACGTGGTTATATAATATACATATCTTTCAACAAACAATATTATAAATTTCCAGCAAAAAGATAGATATTTTAGAGTATTTAAACTTATATTAAGTAGATATAATTATATTTCTCCCCTATATCTTATTAATGGACGACCATTTTAAACTCAAATGAAACTACATACTAATCTACACTTTCAGTGTCACAGGTTGCGACAACAATGCTTGCATACCTTAGCATAATTGCAATCAAGTACATAGGTACTTCAATATTGCCCATAACAATAATTTTATTACATGTATTTAATATTTATTATTATACATGACTTTTTTCCCTATTTATGACCTAATGAATATAATATACAGATTTCACGGTATATTGTATTATTATTTGTGAACTTTAATTCATTACTGCTGATTATATATAATTTATTGAGGCAGGAATAATTGTTTTGTTTTAATTTTTCTACCTATTAATTAACGCTTCACCTCATAATGTAATATAATATGTGGTTATTTTATATTTACAAAATATTTTTATTACAGAAAAATTATTTTAACCAGGAAATGATTGTTGAATATCTTACGTTGTAATTGAGGATCATGCCCATAATATTCGTTTTTAGTTTGATTTTGAAGTGATATTGCATTTTTATTTTCAATATTCATCTGAAACACAGACATAAACATATCTTAAAATATTTTATTACATACCTATATTAATAAATATGATATATAATTTTTATAATGATAACAATGTTTATGTTTGAAATTAAAATATATTAATAAAACATTTAAATATATCATAATATCATATACAGTGTGTCTAAAGTTAAAAGAAACATTATATCTTTTAACTAGATGGCACTTAGTATACCTCATTTTGTTCAAAGGCAGAATTTCTTTTTCAAAAGATTTTCTACTGAAATTCAGAATTTTAAAAGGTAAAAATTAATTATGGCATGTAAAATAAATATAGACCTTTTATCAAATAATATTAACTATTCAAAAAACAGGAACAGAAAAGAAATGAAAAAMCATTGAAATTAAACACAGATGTTTATTTTTAAAAGTTGCATTGTATTTTGATTCTCATACTGGTTTATCATACCATAGCCAGTTTATATTGCTATGCGATGCTACCAATTGATGTAATGGTATGATTATTTACATAACTATTTCTACTTTAGGAACAATAATATATTCAGAATTTAATAGTTTTCAACAGAATTTTTTTATATATAGCTTTCAGATATTCTTATTTAACAATTTTTAAGGTTTTATTTATAAAAAAGCAAAAATATTCTTTATACCACTGTTTTTATCACATTACATCAGTGGTGCTCAACTAAGCTACCGCAAACTGGCCTTTAATGTGCCACAAATTTTTTGAAAATATACAGCATTTATACTATCAATATTATATCATACCATAAATAAATAGTCCAGGGACTTTTAGAAACACCCAAGGGTRCCTCAAATATACAAAGGTTGAGAACCACAGTGTTAAATGAAAGACAAAAAATGTATACTAATAAAATAAATACTAATTACCTTTGATGTACTTGGTTGTTCAATATTCATATTCTCTATATTATAACATCTGTTTTCAAAGTACGCCTTTTCTGATTTTAAATCAGCTATTTCAGATTTTAATTTACTATTTGATAAATAAAATAAAATAAATATTTATATCCAGTTTCAATCAACACAATACTTAAATAGTCTAAATTAAATAAAAATATATTACTCTATATAAGATGAATTTGAAGATTGTAAATCATAAAGTTCACGGTTTAGTGATTTTATTTTTGATTGCAGAAGTAAATATCCCGCTTTAAATTTTTTTCTATCGATTTCCGATTCATTATATCGTCTAAAATAATTAATAAAATAAAATACAGTTAAAAACTTATTAAAAAAAATATTACCTAATATTATAGTATAAGATTACTTACACAGTCTTTAATTTTAGCTCAGCAGAGATACCTACATTTTTCTTTTTTTCATCTTCAGCTTCATTTTTAAATAATTTAGTAGATCTATTGCTAATTCTTAAAGCACTTTTTGTATGTTTTAGTTGAGTTTCAAGACAAAAGATTGAGCTTGAATTACGGATATCTTTATCTTTTAAACTTTTTAATTGCTCCCTAAAAATTAAAAATCTGTAGTTATTATAAAAGAAAAGTATCAGTTTTTTATAATTAAACATTGAATTAAGCAGTGCCATATCCAGGGGTGGGCTTTTGGGCTTAAGCCCCCTCCCCCCCCAAAAAAAAATAATCTCAGGTGAGATGCTTTTTAGTAATGCGTAATAGATAGGTTCATATCATAGTAATAATATTGACAGGTGAGCTTAGATTTAAAATTGTGACAATTTATATTAATATATTAAATGCGTAATACATCAAATAGTATGTGTATATATATGTTTTTAAATTATTCCCCATTTTCCTATAGAGTTAAGTGTGAATGTTTAAGCCTCCTCCGAAAACACATCCTGGGTACAGCATTGGAATTAAGGAATAATATAAATTACTTTTAAATAAACTTTTATACTAATTAATAATACATAAAGATCATAAGTTATTTAAATTTAAATATTCTTAGTTCTATTTGTCAGATATCTGTATGAATAAATAATACTCCAATACAGAGATTTCTAAGCTGTTGATTGTTTACAGGAGGGGTCAGCAACCCGCGGGCTGCATAGCAATTTTATGCGGCCGCGATAATAATTTATAGTTAGTTTAAAAATATTATACGACACGTAATCTTTGCTGATAAAAATTGGCATTTCTCACGAGAAGTTAGTTGTACAATTATTGAACAAAAATAGATAGTATGTACAGAAACATTGTACACGTTTTGTTAAACATCGGTAATAATTTATTATACAAAACGAAATACGACTTAGTATTACTGAATCGATTTTCTAGTGAAGTGTAATCGTCTCAATACTGTGTTTCAAATTTTTGTACGTGTAACTCTATGGCTCCTAAACAAAAAATTAACAATGAGCATCGTATTTTTAAAGAAGATTGGACCAAACTTTTCTTTTTTATCGAACACGGTGGTAAGTTATTATGTTTAATTTGTAATAAAACCATAACAGTAATGAAAGAATACAACGTCATTATTTGTTCGTGGTTGTCATAACTTAATTCAGTTTTATTCGAGTCTCTGTGAAACAAAATTTAGCAAAATAAAATATTTTGCTAAAAAAATGTTGACCATATTTGGGAGCACTTATATTTGTGAACAAACTTTTTCACTAATGAAATATTGGAAAAGCAAATATGCTTTGCGATTAACCGATGGTCACTTAAACGCTGTATTGAGAATTTCTACATTGAAAATAAAACCTGCTATCAATAAACTTGTTGATGCTATTCAAACTCAAAAATCACATTAATTTTTATTTATTTATTTTTTCCAATATTATACTATATATTTTTTTATTATTATTATTACGTGTAATTATTAGTATAWCTTTGTTTGTAGATACYTCGATAATTAATGTACCAACCAGTGATGTACTAAGTACTTAAATAAATTAAATTTTAAATTACTATAACATTTYGTTTAAATAAAATAAGRTGTATTCAAATTATGGGGCGTGAAAAAATTTATTTAAATTTTTTGGCCCTTGACATCAAAAAAGTTGCCGACCCCTGGTTTACAGTATTGAAATATACATTTATTTTAAGTATAAAATAAGATTATTTTCCATGTAACTAAATTGTACCTAAATTTATTATTTTGGTATAAATTTAGTTTAATTCCTAATTGTACATATTGTGATTATTGAATTATTTTATCATTATCAGCGAGGATTACGAGTGAGTGACGTGTCACCATAATACTATCATAATAAAAGTTATCTCAAATATAGTGATCATCAATGAAACAATAATAAAAAAAAATGTTAATTAATATGTTGTTAGTCACAAATCATACTCAAATTTAAAAATTAAAAAAATTAATTATTTCATAATACATTTTACATAATAACATAACTTCAAATACATTAATTTAAATAAAATAAATCCCCATAATAACAGACCTCATATCCTACGACCAAAATCTCCTTACAATGGAAATTAACAATAATCTTGTCAACCTATATCCCTTTACAAAAATTCCATAATTACAAAAATATAAGTTGGTACAAAGCGATTCCGTTATAAGGAGATTTCACTTAAGTTAGACTTAAATAAATAAATCTAAATAATCAGAAGGTTTTATATTTTATTCGAAATCAATTAAATTATGATAAAATACACTTTATTTATAATTTAAAACATTTACCTCAGTGAATTTATTTCATCATCAGTTTTTCTATTCCATATTTCTTGAGCATTAGAATCAACTTGTAAAAACAATTTGACCAGATTATTTTCTAATACCAATGAACGACAATGTGGGCAAGTTTTTGATCTTAAGACATAAAAATGTACATTTTTTTTAAGCCATAAGTTTATAATAAGTAAAATTAAATTTGTATATTACTTTACCTTTTTAACCATGACATAAGACACTTATGATGAAAGACATGTCCACACTGTGTTGTATATGTAGAATTGTGGTGAATTCCAACAAATGTCTCATCACAGATAGAGCAAGTAAACATATTTCTAGAAAAAAAAATTGGGCTTTATTTACTAATATAAGTTCATAACAGATAAAAATAGTCAAAGAAATCATTCAATGCCTATTATCAGCAAATTCTAAAACTCAACATCTAGAAAAATCTAATTTATTTTATCATAAAGTTGTTTAATGGATTTTTTTATTCTTTTAAAATGTTACAGTTAAAACATATTACACGATTTACATATTTATAGTCCAAACGGAAGCCGGAGGTTCTCATTTGAAAAACCAAAATTTATGATACAATATGACATTTCTTAAGTAGGTAGTAAAATGTTACTGAAACTTAAAAAAATGACCCAAGTATATTTTAAAATTACAAAAGTCAAAATTTGATTACTTCAATTATTAAAGAAAAAAATTAGGGTAAGCATGCTTATATAATAATATTATATATAAATATATAAAACGAACTAAAGTTACCTTGTAAATAAGAATTCTTCTCAATGCCTTTTTTCTTATCAATTCATAATTAATAATAATAATATTTAACTATACATTACTATACTCTAATTAACGTTATGAATTATGATTTATGAAAAATAAAATGTACACTTAAGTTATACCTACTTAAATTTATTTAATAACATGAATAGTATAATGAACGGATTACAAATTTAAATTATTATGTATAAGAATTTAAACATACAACAGTGAACAGACTTATTGACACTTGATAGTATTAATTAATAATTTGGAATATGAATTAATTGAGGACTGAGCACTGAGCCACTGAGGTATCATCTTAATCTATTATGTGGTACTATCACAGTTAGTTGTACTCACGGCTTAAGATATACAGGTTAGCTATCGTCTATCTAAATAGCATTGGCAGCTGCGGTCAGAACGTGATACGGGTTTAGTATACATTTTCACCACATCTTTAGAGCGCTAGTGGTAAGTAGGGTTATAGATTATAGACTATAGTGATAATTTAATTTATTATATCAAGTATTTAAGTTATAAGTTATAACGGACGACAGTAAAGTTTAATGTTTTCACTTTTCTGGTGCATTATACAGCTTTTCTTTATTCAGGTATGTCATTTTGAACTTGTCGTTACAATATTATGTAAAATAAAAGTGTTTTAAAATATCTTAAAAAATAGTATTCAAATAGRTAAAATTACTRTCAAAATCTTTTTTTAAATTTATTTAAGTAATACTTTTAAATCGTATTTGAGACAAAGTTTACACTACTTTTTTAATATTAACTACCTAGTAAATTATAGTTATAATTAGTAAGTAGTATTCAATACAATGAAATAGTATTTAAAATGTTTTCAAATATGTATTCAATTATTAAAAAAATATTTGAATACTTCTACTCAAATACTTCACAATACTGAATTTACTTTATTCTACTTATAAATTATAATGGTCCAATATTTTATTATAGTGGATAATGCCTCGTTCATGTTGTGTAGTCGGTTGCAAAACTGGATATAAGTCTAACCATAGTACAATTAAGGCATCTACTTTTTCTTTTCCTACGGATGAAAATTTAAAGAAAAAGTGGATAGATAAAATACCCCGAAAAGATTTGATTGTTACTAAAAATTCAGCAGTCTGTGCCAGTCATTTTACTGATGATCAAATTATTAGAACATGGACTTCAGGGGTTGGTGATAAACAAGTGTGTGTAAGTATCTAGATAAATTACATTTTAATTAAAACTGAATAATTCTTAATTTTTTTTTTATTACTCATTTATTTTAGACTATTTTATTTATCTGATTAACTATTTATTTAAATGACCAATGTTTTTCAGATAAATTTGAAGTATCCAAAACTAAAAGAAGATGCTATCCCTTGCATATTTCCGGGCCCAAAATATTTATCGAATCCACAAACTAAAAGAAAGTCTCCTAGAAAGCGAGATAGTTCATTAATCTCTTCTAAAAACATTAAAGTAGTAGAGGTAAATTTTACAATCTTACTAAAAATATTAATTAATCAGGTACAATATATAAATAATACATAATTATACATAAATATTATGTATAAAATATTTGACTGTTCGTATCATATTTAAATGTTGTATATCAATTTTATAATTAATTTTAAAGTTCTGTTATATAGGTAAGATATATCCTAGTATACATTATGTATTACATATTGTAAATATTTTTTTTTTTATAGGCTGAATCTAAAATTTCTGAACATCCTTGTAGTAATGATATTGATCCAGAATTTTCTGAAGAATCTTCAGTCTTGTCCACTGAACAAAAGTTTGAGAAAATATGTTGTGATCTTGAGTCAATCACACTTCCAGATAATTGGAAATATGAGATACATAGAGCAAATAAA